AGCTTAAATACAAAGTTGCAGTTCCTAGCTGTGTAGAACCAATGTGCAGAATTGCAGCTCCTTTGGTATGAGTAGATACATTTGCAATTTATGTTTTTTCTGGCTGCAGAAAAAAAGGCAGCTCTTTCCAGTAGCTCCCCACTTCCATGCTGATACAAACATCATATAAATGATGTAAACATGGGTGAGCAGTTACTGGCACAGGTAAGCTGGTTACAGTAAATATGACCATGCAGGCTATAAACATACTGTTCATCCAGTGGTGAGAGCTGTACAAGTGAGGAAGGTCAGTATAATAATGAAAGTAAACCTACAAAGAGTTTTCTGAGATTCAGAGACCAAGAGGCCCATGAAAGAACTCTTATTCCAGAGATAGAACCTGGAAAAATGCAAGACTAACAAGCAAACCTTTGGGAGCCGTGTGTGCTTGTGCATTTACGTCAATTTATATGTATTCAAGAGAGAGAGAGGAATATGTTATTGAAAGAAAATGAAAGCCAAGAAAACAAATAGAGGCTGATGTTAGAACTGGTAACAGGGAAGCCAAATGACAGGAGAGTTAGTAGCAGGGGCGAAAAGGCAGCTACTCAGAATGTTAAGAGAGGTAAGGATTGGAAGAAAAAGATCTGACCTACATCTTTCTTTTTAGCAAGCTAGCTAATGACATAAATGAAAGAGAAGGGGAGTGACGAGTTGCAAAGTCAGGATTCTGCTTTCAGGCTGGATCTGATTTCCACTGTAAAGGAAGTCCAAGTTAATTCTGCTGCAGCAAAAGCGCCTGAAGCACTTCGAAGACTCACACATTAATTGTAGTATTTCACATGCATGAAATGTTGCCCTTGTTCGGCAGGTATGCATGTACACACTCATTTTGATCATGTAAAGCCCCTTGATAATTCATTGAAAGATGAATGTAAATAGCTAAGTAAAGCAAAATATATACACAGTAGAGAAAAATTTCTAAACTGTGTAGTCAAATGATCATAAAATGTAAAACGTACAGTCTGAGGCAATTTAACAAATACTTAAATGTATGCACAGTAAATGCAGCTCTACCAAGAGTGCAATCCTATGCATGCTTAGACAGAAGAGAATGCCTGCAACTCTCTACATGCCCCAGCCACCCCCTTGAACTTTCTTGTTGAAGAATGGCAAGAACAGAGAGTGCCCTCAGAGATGTAAACATTCGGCTGCTGGAATCTGAATGGTGCTGTTTCTCATGTGAGATTCATATCTGTTTATATTGGTCTGTTCGTTCTATAGCATATGCTGAAGGCACTGGTATCCAGTGGTAACTTGCCTGAGTGTATCTCTTCTGGAGAACAATGGAAGCAAGCCAGTTCCATAAGGCGGAATCAGCCCTCAGTCAGGATTGTTAGTTTTCATGATATAAATATAATGAAAGGGTGGGCACGGATCAGAGAGTCCATATGGGCAACCTTGACTATCCCAGAGTAAAGAATAGGTAGGTAACAATGCAATAAATGTCCATCCAAAAGTAAGTCTCATGGAGTTCAGTGCCATTTAGGTCCAGATAAGCAGATGTAGGACTTCAGCCTGATTTAATTCAGCCTGATTCAGTTGACTTTATCAACTTTTTGAGTTATTAGAATTTTCTATGCATTAGGAGCCAGATGCATGGAAGAAGGTATGGCAAAACAATCCTCAGTATGGGATTCCTAATCACATTCACCTCCAGCCTGCAACACCAGAAAATGCTGAAACTGACAGGCCAACTAGTCATACTGATTCATTCGATTTTCTTTCCAAGGGGAACTAAATGCAAAAAAGTACTAAATGGTGCAGCATTGCTGAGAGGGGAAATAGTTTGCCTTGTACACTTTTGTCTTATTTTGCCCATATATACATGTTTATATTTGGAGATGAAGTTCTCATACTTTTCCATAATTAAAAATGAACTCAAGGGATTGTTTAAAGAAATTCTAAAACTGCTCCAGGCATGGATAAGAATTGACTTACCCCTTAGCACTTCTGTGAGGGTGCTCACAACAGTCACACTGAAATGAAAATGTACGTTATTGTAGTAGGCTGTAGTACAGTGCTGATTACACAGGCAAGAGCTAGTTGTGGTATTTTTCAAAGTTGCCACCTGTTTGGTTGGCAACTTAATGTTCCACAAGGGCCATTATGTTGAATTGCTTGATTCATAGAGGCCAAGACCGTCAGTGGTGATGCCCATTAAATGTGTTGTGTGCCATCAAGTTGTCTCTGTCTTATGGCTACCTGATGAATGAATGCCTTCTAAAATCCTGTGTACAGCAAGCCCCTCATCTACAATATCGGGGATAATCCTATCCTACCTTACTCAACTGCTGAAAGCATTGATCTACTTAAAGTACTTCAAGCCTTCTGAAAGACTCTTTATATGCTGGATATGATTATTGGGAATGTAATAGTTTTGAGGCATTTGCAAATCTATGGGATATGGTAGATTTTTGGAACTGGGAGAATACTAGAAAACATCAAGCACCAAGAGGGGAAGGTCTTTAAAAATATATGGATTATTTATGTACTGTCCTGCACTTCTCTCAAGGAGCTGAGAACAATATAAGTGACGTTCCAACCCCTATTTTATCCTTGCAACAACCCTGTGAGGTAGGAGAGGCTTATGATGATATTTTGGAACTGTGAACTTGAGGAAGCTTACCGAAAACTGGGCCAAATGTGCCTCCCAGCAGCAGTGCTGTTGTGTGACATGCTTATTTTCGTATAAACACCTTTCCAGATCACAGGTGCCTGCCCCAGAGAAGCCAGATGAGTACCTACAATAGAGAGGGAGAAAGCAATGTGGGGGGAAAACTTTACAAAGCCCCAAGTGCCAACCATAATAAATGATTTATTGTTACCCTATGCATTTCAAAAATGTAGGCTTCCTTCAGGATCCAATAGTCATTTGTTTGTTATATTTAATATAATGTGTTATCATAATGATTTAAACGAATACATACATAGCTGAGATGTGAAAAATAAATACTGCAGAACACCCATGTGTAGAGATTTAGAGTCAAACTGTATGTGATATCAGTTGTGTGGATGCCTTTAACATACACATTTCTAAACAAAAAATACTTTGAAATACATTGCAGCTACAGGGTTCTGCTTGAGCAGAATCAGGACCATGGTGCACAGGGAAGGGGAATTTAAGCTGCAGTCCTGCTGAACTCCAGCACCCCCCAAAACTGCTATTAACCCCAGAAGGTAAGCTCCCACTGGAAGCTCCACTCTGTAATTGAAGTAACATAGAACCAGAGTTTGGAAGTTGATCTTACTATCAAGTACAGCAATATTTTCCAACAGTGGAAAATTAACCACAGAGGCTATGTCCTTGCTTTCTCTAGGCTGATGCAAGGACTGCCTGATGATTCTACTGGATAAAAACTCTGCTACACCTGATGCTCCCTGGGGTACAAATGATGTAATATGAGGTAGACCTTCAGGGCAGCCAGGCCATTAAGAACAGGAACAACCCACAATGGATTATTGTTGAATTGTGTGCCTTCCCATTGAACATTTTTCTTCAGGAAAGGCTCATGTGGAGTGAGGAACTGAAAACTATTGTGTGCCTGAGGAAATTCAGTACAGTTCTTTGTTTTCACTGAGAACTACTGGGAGACTTCTGTACCCTAGGACTGAAAAATAGGGAAAGTGTTCTGACAGCAACATGACATTTATTTAAGCCTGCAACTTTATTACTAGCTGCCAACTGCAAGGGAGTTGATTTACTTTTAGAGCCAGCAAACTCTCCACAATTATCTTTTCCAATTCTCATTCATCCATTCCAGCACTCAAAAAGCCTTCATTTACTGAAAAAAACCCAAGTTGCTTTACTAATCTAGGCAAGAGAAAAACATGCCTCTTGTCCTTCCCTCCCAGCCCTTGCAAATTGGACAAATGGAATGATAAGGAAAATGTTAAATGAGATTGCAGAAATAAAATTGGATAACATCAGAAGGTTCTGGCAGTTTGTTTGTTTTTGTAGTTCTTTTATCTGGAAAACAGATGACAGCAAGTTAATGGAAGAGGGGTGAAGGAGTGTCTTGGTGCTCTATTGCAAGGTCATGGGTTTGGAAGGACAGATCGACGCTGTTTTTAATTTAAAACCAACGAGGCTTGTGTGTGCTTTGTGCATGATATGTCAGATGGCAACCAAGTGTTTTCAAAGTTCATATGTTGGGCTGTTGGGTAATGAGGATGAAGGACATAAGAGGAGCCCTGCTGGATTAGACCAAATGCCTACCAAGGCATTCTGCTTCTTTAGCAGTTAGCCAAATACTTGTAGGAAGCCCACAAACAGGGCAAGATTGTGTGGACACCTTTCTCTTGTCTTCCTCAGCAACTGGTATTCATAAGTATGCTGGTATTCATAAGCATGTCTTCATCAAGAGTGGTAGCCATTGACAGTCTTCTTTTTTATGAATCTGTTGAATCCCCTTCTATATCTGTCCAGCTTGGCAGCCATTGCTACATATTGGGGTAGCAAATTGCACCATTTATGCACTGAGTGAAAAAGTACTCACTTTCATCTCTCCTGTATCTCCCACTATGCAGCATCATGGAATAATGGTTCTAGTATTATGAAAGACAAAGAAAAATACCTCCCTGTCCACTGATCCCAAACCATGCATATTTCTATACAACTCTATTCCTTCTCCTTCCACTGCCGATTTACTTGGGTCCCCCCCCCACCCCCATGCTAAAGAGTCCCAAATGTTATATCTTTTCCTCATAGGGAAGTTGTTCCGGCCTTTTGATCCTGTGGGTTGCTGATTTTGGTACCTTGTCCACCTCTACAATATTCTTTTGGAGGTGCACGGCAGCCTCATGTCACCGGCTGAGCTGCAGTGGAGCTGTAAGCCCTCAGAGATGCCTAAGCCCTGGGAGAGTCCTCTTGGCACAACTTCAGAGCAGAAGTGTGAAGGGACTTGCCCTTTCAGGGTCATCTCTCTCTTATCTTTTAAAAGGCAATTTCTTTTCCCTAGGGCACCAATGCCTCTGCTCTGGAAAAAGACATTGGGCCAGAGCAATTTCCACTCAATGAACACTACTTCGGACTGGTCAATGTAAGTATCATTGCTGTAATGCAGGATGCATTTTAGAGGTTATGCCAAAAATTGAAAGTCTGGTTTGTAGAAGTGCTAGATCACAACCCACAACCCCTAAAGGAGGAGGCAGGCACTGCTGTGTAAATTTTCTGTTTTTCCTATGGTCCTGGTGCCCACCTGCCACACACACCCCATCCCACACTGGAGCAAGCAGAAGTCTCATTTTGTCCCCCAGCAGGTGAAGGGAATATGGGAAGGGCAAGTCAAGAGGAGCGGTAGCGTCACAGTGAGACTTTAAGAACATAAAGGAAGGAACAGGAAAAAGGCAGACAGACTGGATACCTCCTGGTCTGAATGAGATATTCCATGTTTTACTTTTTAAAAATTCTTGTAAATTTCAGAATAAAAATAAAAATCCAACCAAAAAAGGGAAAATAAAAATAATAGTGTTCTTTCCTGTCTTGATGTTTAACTAAATCTATTACAATGAATGTGTGTATATTATGTACTCCTATATATGTCATGTATAACAACATGTGGTACTATTTTTTAAGATAGTTCTATGCAGACTTCAAGAAAGGGAGCACAGATATCTGTGAATTGGTCAGTTTGTAAAATTGCCTAAAAACTACCCATTCAAAATTCAAATGTTTCATCAAGACCTCTAGCTTTCAGTGTTGTAGGATTAGACTTCTAGCTGTCAAAAGGGTGCAGAAAATCAATTTCTGCCGACCTTGCATTAAATTCCAAAAGGAAGACTGGTAGTTCAGAAAAGGAGTTTCTGTAAATACTAAAGAAGATTTTCTCATACAATTTATCTGAATTAATCTTCTTTTAGATTAGACAGGTGTAGGGCATTGGCAAAACATTTGGGTAAGAGAAATGTTAGCTGTATTGCATTTCCAACAATTGTCCGATTTAATTAAGCCCTTATTGAAAATGTTGTCTACTTGAAGCATCATTTAGGTTACCTTTCCTAAATGATTTTCCATCATTTAGGAAAGGTAACCTAAAATCTGTTTCCCCTCCTGAAATAGATCCAATGAAGTGCTGCACTGATTGGGCGAGATTGGGTTTTTCAATTCATGACATGCATTTATAGACATAGATCCTGGACTAGTGTAGCTGTTCAGCCTCAACCAGTACTTCCAATAGCAAAGGGAGATCTGAACCTGGAAAGGTGACAAGGCCAAACCTGGATTCCATCAGATGTTTCAGTTGTGCATTTTGCCATTCAGCTGGAGCTGGCAAATCATATTTAGCATACAAAACAGAGAATGGCAGGAAGTTATCATTGGGCCCTGCATGCTGAGCCAAAGTGAAAATTAGCCTTTCCATCCAAATATGCCAAACAAATATTTTCTTGCCAATCTTAAATCTGGATTTCCCCACAGAGAACATTTTACACATGAAAATAAATCAGACTTCAATTGACATAAGCCCATGTGTCAATCCCCGTTTACTTTGAAGGTTAGCATGATCCTCACCCTGAATTGCTTGGCTCATAACCTAGATGAAGAGAGGCCAGCTGGATCACTTGGAAAAGCATTACTGGTGCTTGTATCCAGGCCAAACTGTGACATTGCACTAAGCCATGTGATTTGCAGTCCACCAATATCTGAAGGGCCACACATTTCTCAGCTGTACAGGCTGTTTGTTCCTCTGAGAAGGAGTAATTTAGCCCTGGAAAGATAAAAGGCCTCAGTTCAGCTCCAGACCTTGTTGGAACCAGTTGCTTACTTGGAAGCTTCTGAGCTTCTGCCTTTCTGAGCTGGTTAGTGTGCCCCGTGGGCTTCTGCTTGCAGTCAGGGTGGGACAGCAGTAGTGGGGAGTGGTACATGCAAGGCTTCCTGGCAATGAGATCAAGAAATGCTCCCATTTGCTCAAAGGCACCCTCTGAATGATTGATTCCCATGTGTATTGCTGCAGATGGTACACTGGGTGTGGGAGGAGCTGCATGAAAAGTCTCCCTTCCACATGTTGGGCTTCTGCATGAGCCAGACTGGCTCACTGTTGCCATGGTGACTGCACTCTCCAAAAAATAGCATCTGAAAAGACCCAGCTGCCCTTCTTCCTGCTATGAAGGAAGATCCATGAAAGAAGCATGGATTTATACCTTATTCCAAGCTGGTTTCTTGCATTTATGACAGAGCCTGTGCATGATAAAAGGCTTTCTGGATCATAGCCAAAGTATGTTGATGAGTGCATTTAAGTGGAATGTTTAGGAACTAATGAAATAGAAGCTTTGAGTTTTTTGAAAAAGAAAAGGCCTGATGGCCTGGACACCTAAACACCTGCTTAACATCATGGAATTTTTATTCCTAGCTAAATAATTCTTTATAGTTCCACTACCAAACATCTGTTCTGACCCACAATCAAAAGCAGTTCCTTGCAACTTGTGATAGGAATTTTACAAAAAGCAGAAAATCTGGAAGCAACAGGTATGGAATTTTGGGATGTCGCATCACACTGCGGCTCACTGTCTACATCCACCTTTTTATCTTGCAGTTTGGAAACACGTGCTACTGTAATTCTGTCTTGCAAGCCCTGTATTTCTGCCGGCCGTTTCGGGAGAATGTGTTGGCATACAAGGCCCAGCAGAAAAAAAAGGAAAACCTCCTGACATGCCTGGCTGACCTTTTCCATAGTATTGCAACACAGAAGAAGAAAGTTGGGGTGATCCCACCAAAAAAGTTCATCTCCCGATTACGAAAAGAAAATGGTATGGAGCAGAGCTGAGCCTTCTTTTAAAACAGGTGGGCAGAAGGTAGATCTCCAGATGTTTTGGACTCAGCATTCCTGACCATTAGCCATGCTGGCAGTGGCTTCCAGGGGTTGATCTCAAACATCTGAAGATCTTCCTTTGTGTTAGGCAGTGGTCCTGCACCCTTTCCCAACTTGTAGGAGCAAGAGGAGGATGCTCCACCACCTCTCCTTGCAAACATGTACACTCTCTGGGTGGCTGTGCTCAGTTAAGTCACCCAGTCCCACTAGAGCAGCCTTTCTCAACCTCATATCCTCCAGATGCATTGGAGTGCATTCCCATCATTCCCAGTCAGTATGGCTGCTTATGCCACTGGCATGGTCAAGAGGACAATGCAGTGAGAGAGCAGAGGTAGCAGCTGATGTATGCTTTCAGCTGCTATGCAACATGGTAGACAGAGCCCAGCCTACCTTCATTTACTGCCCAGAAAGGCCAGGATACAACCAAGAGGATGTGGCAGCTTCTCTTGGAAGGCTTCCTCCTCCTCCTCATGCCCTCATGTGCCTCTTTCTGGGCAACCCTCATGTGCAAGCCAAAACATCCAGAGTGAGCAAGCTGAGGCAGAACACTGCCATCATCCTTGTTCTCTTGCTTGCTTGCTCTGTCTGGGTGGCATGGCAAGGTCTTATCTTACCATTGCATCTCTCTAAGGGAGAGGTCAGGTGAGCAGTCAGGTGCACAGGTGACTGCTCCTTGTCTCTTCCATGCATGTGGTTGCTTTTGATCCTAGGTTGGGAGAAGGAGGAGGTGCACCTGCCAGTCTGACGTCAGCACTGGTGGCTTTTCTTAAAATGTGCAGACCTTGGCAGCTGCCTGAAGGTGCCAACACCAAGCTGGCTGGGACTTCAGAAGCCTGGAAAATGGATGGCTTTCTCCTTTTTGCAGACCTCTTTGACAACTACATGCAGCAAGATGCCCACGAGTTTCTGAACTACTTACTGAACACTGTTGCCGACATTCTGCAGGAGGAGAAGAAACAAGAAAAGCAAAATGGCAAGTTGAGAAATGGCAACATGAATGAAGCAGAAGAGAACAACAAACAAGAGCTGACCTGGGTGCACGAGATCTTTCAGGGAACCCTGACGAATGAAACAAGATGTTTGAACTGTGAAACTGTAAGCATTGGGCTAGTTGGGTTGTGGGGGTCTGGGCATATGCATAGTGAGAAGGTATACGGATGATAGATGTAAGTGGATGTAAGAGGCCGGCTGAGAAGTGGGGATGCATCTGTGTAGTGAAGTGAAGGCTGTCTGCTTTGAACCATGGTCTTTGTGGCTATTAGCCATCTGTTACAATGGGCCACAGAAGCCCTGCTCATGAATCCACTGGAAAGACCCATCCAGATGGTGCATATGAGAAACTAAGTCTTTCTGTTGGTGACCACATCACTGTCGAACTCCCTACTGAGAAGTGTGTTTGGTTCCCTCATTGACTACTTTTAACTACAATTCATTTTACTTGAGGAGTCTGTAGTTGGTCTGTTAAATGGTTGTTTATTTCATTGCTAATATTTTTTTAAAATCTGGTTTTTATCATTGCAATCATTGATTTTTTTTTTCATTTTGTAAGTTGCCTTGTGAAAGCATTCTGCCCAAAAGGATGGCATATAAATGCGACTCTTAACAGAAGGCATGAGATAGATCTTATTGTATGGGCTGGATTGTATGTTGTGGCACACTTGGGTAGAGTCCTGGGTCACAGTTTGGTAACTACTGGATTTTCTGAAAACAAATTTTTATAACTGCATTGTTAATGTCATGAAAGGTCATTCTGGGCTTCAGTTCTTTTACTGGGACACGTTAGAATCATGCACTGGATGGTGCTACAAGACAAAGTGCTTTGCAGTCTTCATATTCACTGTCGCAACATCCCTTGAGCAGCCACTGTCCTTCCCGGTTTAGGGACAAGACATGTCCATGGTGACATGAGAGATGGGATTTTGGCCCAGGCCTTTCAGGAGTAGCCCATGAGCAGGCAGAATCAAATAGCCAGAAAGACAGCCACCACCCCTACCGTAGTCCATGAAGATTTTTCTTGTTGTGTAGATCCAGGTGATCTGTGCTTTTATGTCCAGTTTACCTGTCTTGAATACAGCTGTGCTGAAGAGTGCCCCCCAAAAGCCCTGGATCCAAATTCTGAACGTAAACGCACAATCGTTCTGTTTATGAGATCCACCAACATTAGCATTTTATTCTGAGAGAAACCAGAATCTTTATTTTCCCCTGAATTATTTTATCAAGCTGACAAGTGGTTATGAGGAACTGCATCTGTCCCGAAGGCAGACTGGAAAGCAACTGATACAGGAGCGTTGTAGTTAATTCTTGACAGAGAGAGGAAAAGGCCACAGCCAGCTCTATTCCAACAGTTGCACTGGCTTGCTTTTAGTTTTGCACTTAATTCAAGGTGCTGATGTTTATATTTCTATCACTGATGTTTAGATTTCCATCAGAAACAACCTTTCCAAATATGACCCCAAACATTGCCTGTGTCCTGCAAGTTTGGAGACACCCAAGGACCCTGCAACCAGAAAGACTTGGAGAGACAGGGAAATTGACCAATTGATTTGTCCACTGCAGATGTTGACAACCATGTGCAATACCCAATCCAAACCATGCCTTGCAACCCCTCTTCACACCATGTTTTCATGTACCTTTTTGTGGCCAGAATGTAACTGCAGGTACTCAGATGCCCTTTAGTGACAGAGCAATCCTGTGTTTGTTCCTGTGCCCTGTTGGCAAGGCAGAATACCTGTGAGAGGCACGGTTTACGTTCTTCCATTCACAGATGGAAGAAAAAGCATTCATTCCAATGCAGGTCCAATGTCATGAGTGGACAGGTTGGACATCTGCTGTGTGTCCCTACCCTATCAGAGTCCCAATGACAAGACTGCCCTGGGTGGCCCCTTGGCATTATCTTTTAGGTTTTGATGTTGGACTGACTCCAATGGTAGTCATATTCCTTTAAGCATTTGCTTCAGGGAACTGGTCTTGGGGTCAGGCACCTGTACATAATTTGCTTTGGATTTTTCTGTCTTGGTTTCAGGTCAGTAGCAAAGATGAAGATTTTCTCGATCTTTCTGTTGATGTAGAACAGAACACATCAATTACTCATTGCTTAAGGTAAAAAAGAGAAAATGGGTTTGAAAAGACCATTTGAGACTTCCACTTTGATATAGCATAAATCAAATCAAGGAATAGAAACAGAGCTTTTTTTGGTGGTAAGAAGCTGGGGGTATATATCAAGCATGATGCCATTGAATGTTTGGTAAGAAACTGCAGGTTTTGAATGTCTTGGTTGCTTACTCCTGGGAAACTGTAGGATTACTCAGGAGCAAATAGCTTCAGTGTGTGCATTTCTGTAAGCACACACAATAGATACTTAATCTATCCTCCATCTGTCAAAGGACCTATTGATGAATAATTTGAAACATTTGCTCCCAGGCATTAAAAAGTTTATCACGGCAGTTGACTGTACAGGAAAGATTTTAGCATCCATCATGTTCCATTGAATTACAGAAGTTGTTAATTTACCAGAGTTTCACTGAACAAAATATTGGTTTTATTTATTTTACTTGCTTATGATGGATATTTACGTGCTTATGATGGATACTTATAAACTGCCCTTCATCAAATGATATTAGGTACTGAATAACAAATATGTAACAAATAGCTTCAGCTATTGAGTGGTGCAGAAATGAAATTAAATAAAATATACAAACAATAATAAAATGTAGTCATTAAACACCTTAACACACATCACCCCCCAAACACACACACATATAAATGCCATCTAGAATGCTGAGGCATTTCATTAACACATCATTTCCAAGTGAAGAGTTTAATGCATCTTTCTAAGACAAATTAAGAACCTACTTAAGCTTTCCTATTAGTTGGGGTCAAGCCTTAGCAATCAGCAGAAGTTCAACCTTTTTGAATGTTAGCTGCTTAAATGTAAGTGCATGCGAGCAGTGATCTTGCCTAAGAGATCACACCCTCTCTTATGTCCAGTTGTCGTACTACTTGAACAGGCCTGGGCAATGGGTCACCATCAGGCTGAAAGCGGACAGGCATCTTTGGCAAGCCACTGGGTGGGCGGGGGAGGGAGGCAGGCAGGGGAGGGAATGTGGCACTTATGTGCCTTACTGGGAATGGAATAATAAGACTGTTGAACACCTGGTAGTCCACTGTGGTGCATTCATTGTGTTCTTGAGCATTCTGTCTGCGTGGAGGATGCTGGAATTGCACAACCATGCAGTGAAGCAAGCTAATCAGCATTTCCAAAATAATTAATGTCCCTTTTCCTGGATGCTCACCAAAGCCTGAACACTTTTAGAAGCTTCATAACAGTTCATTTCTAAAATGATTTTGGCAGGAAGTAGCAGTCAATCACGGCTATTTTTCTGTCATTCTCTTGAAATCTTTCCACATTGTCTGATGTCTGTTTTGGTGCCAACTGAAGACTAACAACAGATCTTCATCATCATTCCTGAGCTTGCAGAGAGTTTGCTTTATTGCTGGTGGTTTTATTTGCAGTGTGGGGGGGGGGGTTGGTCTCATTTTGTTCTTATATGATAGCTGTATTAGGCAATATTCCATGCTGCGTGCATGTCAGAGGGGACCTTCCACTATCCCAACAGGAAACCTGTGGTCCCAAAGCAACCCTGGAAACATCTTGAAATGTCCGTTCCTGGAATTTGGTACAGCAGTGGTGCTCCTGCCAGGGAGCTCTATTGAGCTGCCCCGTTCCAGAAATGAGCATCCATTTGCTTTAGGAAATACTAGCTTCCTGTTGTGTCCGTCCTGCAGATGAGTAGCTGCAATGTTGCATACTGCCCATTGTTCTTCCTACCATATTGGGAGCCATCCTGTAAATTGTTATACTGAAGGGTAGTGTGTGCAGCTGTATAAATAACTAAATGATGGCTTAGTATCCCTGCCTGTCACACTGAATGAAGTTTGATTCCATGATGAACAGTCTCCCTTTGTTTTGGGTCAGAGGCCATAGATTGGTGCTAGAACAGGTGCTTTGGATACAGAAAGTCATAGGTCATATCCCAACAACTCCACTTGGCAGGGCTGGAAAAGATCTTGGAGAGTTGCTGTCAGTCAGAGAAAACAATATCAGTGTATCGGTATGGACCAACAGCCTGATTCAAGATAATGCAGCCTCCTGGGTTTGTATGTGACAAGTATTTATCTCAGAACATGCATGAAAGAGCTCATGAAAGACTAGCTGATGTCCTTGCCCTATTTGGGAGTTCTCACCCTGAATAAAGCAAGTGCATGAGGAAAGCAAGTGCTCCAGCCCAGCCCACCTCCATTGTGACATCACACAGTCCTCTTCCATCTTTCCACTCATAAAAGTCATGCAATGTAAGTTATGGTGAGAGTCAGTGACCTGCCCAAAATTATTAAGTGAGCTTCATGGCCAAGTGAGGAATGGAACTCAGATCTACTGAGTCCCAGCCTAACATTCTAACCACAAACATTCTTCAGCTCTCAGTGTCATAAGCAAATAAGGAGATAACATATAGCCAGCCACTTCTGTTTTCTGTGCCTTTTCTGTAAAAGAAGGAAAATGGCTGTCTGTTTTACAAAGTGATATATTTCCTCTTTTTTTCTTTTGGCAACTCATATGTGACCACCTTAGGTTTTAGCCAGACAATTACACCTGTAGTAACCTCCATAAAAAAACAGATAATGGCTGAATTTTGACTGGGAACACTTTCTGTGAAGGCAAAACATAATAGTCTTTTTGGATTTTTTTCTCATCAGTTATTCAAATGAGCATAAAATATCCTCTTTGCCCATGAGGCTCCAGAATGTATGTTGGAAATTATAATTGCTATGTTTGAGAACTGAAAAATGTTTGTTTGAACTTAATTGTATGAATAATGGAGAGCAGGAAAGAGAAAGCAGTAAACAGGAGCAGTTCAGAGGTGATTGCTCCATTAGTTTCTTTCCCCCTTAACAGTACATCTAGCTGTTCCCCCCTCCTACTTATCTTTGGATGAAAAAGGCCTTCTGTGTTTAAGTCTGTGAAATAGCTATTTTCCTCTGGGTATTAGTGCTGGCATTAAAATAGGAATGCATATAATAACACAATAAATTATGTGTCAATTATTTTTATTTCCACAAGGAGTTAAAAAGACCAGTTGTTTCAAGTCAATTTGCCTCTCACAGCCCCTTCCTTTTTCTTTGTTTTATCAACATTTTCTATGTGCTTGGGGTTTTTTGTGTTGTTTTTTTTAAAGAAAAACATTTTCCCTGTGAATAAATAACAACTCCAACATTTTTCTGTCTAAGTGTTAGTTCATGTTGGCATCCTCAAAAGCCGCACTTAAATAAAATTCAATAAGCTGGATTAGGTTGGAGATGAGCAGCTGTCAGTACCAGGCTGAATCTTTAAAGGATGTTATTTGGCCCAGCAGGTGCCAGTCCAGAAGCAAGGAGGGTGATGGAGCCATTGGGCCATTTTAGGAAATGGCAAGCAGAACTTGGCCCATCCCCACTCCCAGTGTTTCTTTCCAGTGGAAATCTTTTTGTCTATGGGAATAAGGTCACCCTGATCTTGTAGAGTGGGCATGTATCCTCCTTTACAGTGGGCAGTATCTTTATCTGAAGGGCTGATGGAGGACCATCTTCTGCCTGAACATAGCCTGTATTTGAAGGACTGGCCTACTGAATTCCAGTTATCTTTAATGTCATTGTAAGAACAGTTGCTCAGCAACACATGCCAGCTGGACACTAGACTGAACAAGCAGGCACTCTGGTTACCCAGTCACAGTCTTCCATAGGATCCTGAGCTGTACTCTCTATTTAAATTATAATTATTTTGTCTCTTTGCACCTCTATATAAAATTAGTGCATGCACATTTAATGTGATTTGCCATTCTCTTTGCCTTTCTTCAGGTGATTCATTTACTTTGCTTGTTTTGTTTTGGCATTTCATAAGTGAACACCCTAGAACTTAGCACGGTTAGCCATGTAGCAACTTCTATATAAAAAAGCAAAGGCAAATAATTGCTGGACATTATGAATTCTTTTCATTTGAAAATGTTTTTGAGCTGCTAGATGTTTAAATGAAGCAAAACACTTTGCCAAATATGAAGGCATTCCTGGCACATAGTGGGCCCCCAATGCACAAACAGCCCCCCAGGCAGTAAAGGCACCCCTCTTCATGCTGGTCACACCCAAGGGAAAAAATGGAGTTTTGTAGGCACATGCAGTAAACTCAAGAGTATCATTTCAGAAGTTCCAACTGTTAGGCATATAATCACATTTTAATAATTAGTATGGTATAATTAGCTGTTCCAACAACACTAAATTAAGAGCCAGAACAATATAATCAAACTTCCATTACCCCAAACTCTTAATTAGTTAATTCAATTAATTTAATGACAAACCTGCCCATTGGAAACAAAGTATTCTTTGCAAGGTTTCATTCATTCAAACCTTCATTCAAGAGATATTCTCCAGCTTATTCTCCTTAACAAAGCTTAAAACCCACAATAAGAACACTATGGTGAACAAGCAACAAATACCAGGCGAGAACAAACCCACAATAATGCAAAAATGGGCAAATTTCTCACAGTGAATTAAGTAACTGCCTGTCACTAATCAGTTACTCCAAAAGCCTCCAAAACAAGTTAATCTTTACTGCCCACCATTTGGATTTCCCCTGCAAAACTTCCAGGTGCTGGATGGAGAGTTGCTCCAGAGCTTTGCTGCTGCTATTCCATCTACCTCCCCTCTGCAGAGGAGGTGAGGGGGCGCTCATGTGGAGGGTGCTGAGGGCCCTTGGCCCTTGACTCCTGGGCAGCCACACTCCAGAACAGGTGCACTTTCTGAGCACTCTTTGAGGCAGAGGTGGGCAGCATGTGGCCTACCATATGTTTTTGGACTGCAGCTCCCATCAGCCAGAGCCAGCATAGCCAGTGGGGAAGGAGGATGAGTGTGGTAGCCCCAAAACATCAGAAGGTCACAGGTTGCCCTCCCCTGCTCAAAAGGCGAGCCTGTACAAAATGACTCTTTGCTGCTACAGCAGGGGCTGCACATAACATTTCGGATGACCACCCAGCCACCTACTCTGCTAACTGTGTTTATGGAACACAAGCACATGTGTGCGAATTCATAGATAATACAGTGGGTAGTTGGGCTGGAAAATACCAAAACGCTTCTGTCAACAGGTACCTCTGCTAACTTTTTCCAGAGACTTCAGCAACACAGAAACATTGTGTAGTGAACAGAAGTATTACTGTGAGACCTGCTGCAGCAAACAGGAGGCACAGAAAAGGTAAGGAAGGCCATTGGGGCTCAGGCATACCTACAGTACAAATCAAAAGGGTTAGGCAGGACTTACTTCAGACATCTTGATTTCAGTGGAGCTCCACTAAGCATGACTAAATCTGAATCCAACCCGTTTTGTTATTGGGATAGGTACCTGTTTATAAGTAGAATACATATCACTATTGTTTTGCATTACTATTTGAACCTCGGATGCAATTTGCCTCATATAAAAGAAGCTATACTATAAGTATTTCTATTTTTTTAAAAACACTCTTTTCAAAAAACATGACAGTTGTTGCCTCCCCTCACCCCCATGCAAAAAAATCCTGTTTGTGTGATATGAATAGAAAATGCAGTTCTTATTCTATAATGTTACTTTGATTTCCCAGGATGCGGGTTAAAAAACTGCCGATGATCCTTGCATTGCACCTGAAAAGATTCAAATACATGGAGCAGCTACATCGGTACACCAAGCTCTCTTACCGTGTGGTATTTCCGCTGGAGCTTCGGCTGTTCAACACCTCCGGGGATGCTATCAACTTGGATCGCATGTATGACCTCGTGGCTGTGGTAGTTCACTGTGGAAGGTAAACTGCTTTCAGGTGTACGCCAGGAGATAATTCAGAACAAGAGTGTCATTACCTCTCATCCTGAATGCAGGACCCTGATGTTTAAGTGAATCAGAGCTAGTGTCTGTATATTTGGTGTACTCTTTAAGTAGGTAGAAGCAAACTGCATTAAATAAGCAAAGAAAAAAAATCCTTTCTAGGAATCCCTGAGGCCTGAAAGTACCTGTGCGCTTCTACAATGTAGAGAACATTGTGTTTGTAAAAAAATTCAGATACAGACTGGGAGGAAATGGGATCCACACTACGACTGAGAGGTACATTTGTGTATCGCTTTTTTTCCTCTTCTGTCTCTGTGCCTATAAATTAATGAGCACAGAGCAATCAATGCTGGGGAGAATCTCCAGTGCCTGAACTGCCAAATCCAAAGCCCTGCTGGGCTGATGCCAGCAGGATAGAAGATGGAGGTGGGGTGGATGGAGTGGAAGGAATATGTCGAGGCTGGTATTTGCTCCGTCCTTTTGGCACATCAGTGGAGCAAGAGGACATTGGAAGTGGGAGGCCCAAAGCTCCAAGTACCTGCTAGATGCACACCACTGGATGCTGCTGTTTCTCCAGCTGCAGATCTCCCTGTCCCTCTATCTGCCCCCGGGATGCCTTCCTAGGGACCATACGATTGCAGTCTAAGTGCCTTTTCCTGTAATGGGTGGGCGTCCATAAGCACCAGTGCTGTCTTGACCCTTGCTGAGTTGCCCTTCCCTCCTACTTTCTTTAGAGAAGTTAGCACGTTTTCTTAGTGGCAGCTTAGAATTGTTTAAGAGAGGCTTGGGTAGTGAAAGGAATCAGAGTTTTCTGGTGGAGGGAACAGAAAGAAAGTGTTTGTCTTCTGTGAATTAATTTTCTGTTGGCACTGAAAACTTTGATTTTAACATCATCTCTTAGTGTGTTGAACTCTGACTCCACCTCCACTTCGTACTCAGTCTTTTGAACTACTTACTTGTCCCCTGCAAATAGCCGTCTCTCCCATGGCAGCTATTTTGTGTTGATGCCCAGGACAGCAACTCAAATGTCAAAGGAGACTGAAATGGGTGCCCGCCCATGTACAGTAATATGACTTTTGTTTTTTAGGAGGTTGACTCCATCTTGTCACTAATTTTTAATTTGTTTTTCTGTTTAGTGGGCCTAATCGTGGACATTATATTACTATTGTGAAGAGCCATGGATTTTGGCTTTTGTTTGATGATGACATTGTAGAGGTCAGTATGCTGGTAATGGCTGTGCAGAATTTAAATGTATCAAGCTGTCTTGTTTGTGTGAAGAATAGCAACCTTCAAACACTAGGAAGCATTGAAGTTAGTGGGAGTTACGCCACGATTCCATTGTTTAGAACCCTAAATTTAGTATCCTCAGTAGATGTTAGTTAGAGCCAGGTCTACATGTGCAATTGAATCTGTACCACTTCAGGCTACAGATTGGGGATCATAATTTTTAAATTATCCACTATATTTTAAAAGCTCTGCCCAAATAGAAAATTAGCAGGAAATCCAGGAAAAGGATTGGACTAGCCTCTTTCTCCCTGATATGCATGCCTTTCATTTGCAGGGAGGGTTATTTTTATATAGAGAAACATTTCAACAGGCTGTTTCCCACCCATACTCTGAAGTGGTACAGTCTCTTCTGGTACCTGCTTACCATTGTGTCCTGCTAGATGTGAAAACCAAAGTGCAAAAAAAGATATATCCGTCTAGCAGCTACACCGCTCTTTCTCTCCTTTTATTTTTAGTTTAGAGCAGATCAAGACTCTAGTGTTGGAGTAGAAACTTCCAAAGATCCAGATTAGGGCCTCTGGGCCTACTCTAGAGTAAAGACAGAAGAAAGATATAGATTTAAAGTTGAGTCTGTTTTGGCCCCCAACCTCAGCCTCTCTCTTTCCTGGGCCAGAGATTCTAACTTGTTCCTTCAGGGAAGCATGGAAGTGTCTCACACACTTCTTAGCACATCACTTGAAGAGCGCCCCACAATACTAAATAAATAAAGGGTACCATTCTGAGCAAGAGTTTGTGTGCCTTGTTCATGCATGTGGACTGCTGCACAATGAATATGGTCACTCCCAAGGCTCACTGTTCGGTGGCCAAGCAGCCAGGAAAAGAGCATCATGGGTCCCATGCTGTTTGTCGGGATTGGGTAAAACTGTGAAAAACTGGGTGGCAGGAGAGAATAGACCTTAAATGAGGCATCCACAACCAGACCCATCAAGCCAACTCACCAGCCATGAGTTGCGCCCTTTGAAACACTCGATGAGGTAGGAAAATAAAAATTTTGTGGAGACTCAGGTGGGTTCCCAGACATCATTGCTGACACGCATTTAGTTTGCTTGGCAAGTCAGCCACTAATCTACAACAATCGATTTGCTGCTACAAGCTATAACCAAATAAACTCATGGATAAATCACATTGTTTTTGACATTTCATCATATTTTGCCCTTTAACATTTTTATCACTCTTTCCCTTACTTTTACAGAAAATCGATGCACAAGCTATTGAGGAATTCTATGGTCTGACTTCTGATATATCAAAAAATTCAGAATCTGGATATATTTTATTTTATCAGTCAAGAGAGTGACTGGGAAGACAGTGACTTCATCCACACCCAATGGGAGAATCTGACCAGCACTGTTAACTGAATCTGTGTAGACCCATTTGAATACAGTCCAGCCTGCTTTTGTCTCAGTTGTCGACTCCTTTGACTGCAAAGACTTTCCCCCTTTTACCATGACCCTCATTTAACAACAAGACCAAATTTATACAGACTCATGCTCATCTGCCGAAACCTGCAGAACTGAGGCCTAATGTTGCATAGATGTTTGTATCACTATTCAGGACCATTTGTTCACTGTTTCTAAAGAACCATTCCTTTAGGCTAGTGGTTTCCAAACTGAGAAACCATGGGATGCCTTAGATTATTAGCAGGAATTCCTCAGTAAGTTCATGGGTAGTAATGGTGGATGAGCATCAGAGCCAGGGTCAGACCTCGGTGTTGTTGGGCAGCTTCCAAGCCAACCCTCAGAATCCCCTAACCTGGCTTCTCCTCTTACTGCTCCCTGCTGTTGTTTGTTCACATGCTCACTACAAGAATGTGGGTAGTGGCAAAAGCAAAGGTGAGCGTCAGCTTCCACTTGTCCTCTCCTTCAAGTCAGTGGTTGTGAACTGAGGTCAGAGGAGGTGGCAAAAGAACGCTCAGGAAAAATAGCATTAAGGATCCTGCTCAGAGAGAGTATCTCACCCCAGATGTTCTGCCACCATCTGGAGCCACCATCAACATTCATACCCAAAGGCAGCTTTTCCCAGGTCCCTTGAGACATTGATAGACTATGATTCCTGGCCAATGACTGGCCATGCTGGCTGAGGCTAATGGAGCTATAGATCAAAATATCTGAAAGGATCGAAGTTGAGGAAGGCTGCTTTCAAAATAGTTTGCCAAATGTTTGCCTGGAAGCATAGGCCGGAGGTAGTCCAAGGAGCTATGTACTCTCTTCACACAGGACAGTGCTGAATCCCCGTAATACGTATCTACCCTAGAATATGTCTTGGATGCCCCTGGCACATGGAGGGGTCACATGGCAGGTGAGCTCAAGGGTTTCCAGACAGAGCAATGTGGGAAGGTAGAAAGTCTGGATTTTCCAGCTTTAAATGGCTGTTACTATAATGTAACTCGTACTAAGTGGAGAGGAGATAGATATGTATTTCATAACCATTGGAACCAAGTTTGGATTGTGGATTATGTCACATGGTATTCTCCAGTTAGAAAACTATTCCTTCCTAATCCCTTTAAACTTAGAGTTATTAAAAAAGAAATCAAATTGGCAACCTCCAGGCACACTTTTACTCCAAGGGATTTCAGTCCCACTAGAACCAAATCATGCCTGTTTGTCCAGTCTTCCTGTGATCGTGGGACAGCACAAATGGACCAAGTTGGTCTTGTGGATTCCCACCCTGTACAAGACTTTAGGAGATTTTGCACTGAGGAAGAGAGGAAGCTGTTTCTCCCTGTTACTTTCGCTGCATAACGAGTGATTGTATCTGTTCTTAACCCAAAGAAATGTCACATAATGTTGCTTTTGCTTTCTCAAGTTCGGACATGCCTGAGTCTCACGCATGCCAGCAAGTGCTTGTCCAGCAGTTGTCCATGCTACAGAAGCATTACTGGCCACGATCCCTAACTCCATAGGGCTTACCAGAGTCCTGCATGCAGGGGGCATTCACATTCTCCTCAGTCTTAGGGAATGCTGCATAGCACAGTGGAGATTTTGCATGCACATTAGAGATTTTGGGTTTAAGTAAAGATCTGCCATGGCACTCCATCTCATAAAGTGCTAGACCTGACAGGTTGTGATGGCTGCTTGGAAAGCTAATTAATGTGGCATCACCCAGGATCAAATGTTTTTTTGTGTTCTGCAGGATCTTTACAGTCATATATATTAAAATCCAGTTCCTGAATTCTGTCTCCATTGCCATACACAGCTTAGCATGGCCAAGATATGGAACCTGGGGCAAGGGAATCAGCCTGACTTTGAATGGCTCCCATTTGACATGAAGTAAATGGGCCGCAACTGGCAAGACTGCTGGAGAAGATACAAAGTCACTGACCAACTTTGGAGAGAAAGAGGGAATGACCCCTGAGGCATAGGACAGATTGAGCACCCACCTCAGTCTCAATCTGGGAACATGCCTTTAGTTTCTGACATATGATGGCTCTCATTAAGTAAATGGGCTGTAATTGGCAATTGCAATTGACCTCAAACCTGCTGCCCTCAAAATCCTGAGAACACCAACTCAAGGAACAAGGTTAGTTTTTGTCCCAACTATCTCCTGGTGTGAATTCTTTTTTCTTCTTCTGTAGAAGCCAGGAATAGGAAGCCTCAAGCCCATGAACTAATTTTGGCCCTTCCAAGGTTTTTTGATGGCCCCATCCCTCCCTCCAGCCACAGCCCTTTCTTCCAATTACCAATTTTTCAGTGGTTTCCCAGGTGTAGTGCATCCCACTGCCACTCCCAGATATGGAAGCTTGAAATGCCCCTCCTACGCCTTAGTTACTGGCAGAAGCAGCTTTAAGCGAACATGTGCTTCTATTTGGAATGGTTGGCCAAACCCCTTTTGCCTACCACCATTGGAATGCAGCCCCTTGAAAACAAGTTTCGCCTTCTGGCTAAAAAAGTTCCCTACCTCTACTGTAAAGGAGTCATTTTGGGAAATTATATTGAATGAATGAATGAATGAATGAATGAATGAATGAATGAATGAATGAATGACTGCTCCGAATCCTGGCTTTGAGCATTCCTTTTCAGTGGTGGTGAGATGGGCCTTCTGGCCCTATCACCGAGTGGCTGAGCCTACACCAAGTACTGGGATGCCTCATGTCTCTGTGTGCCCCAACCAGAACCTGCAATATATAAATCTCTACCACCCTCTTGCTAGTCTTATGAGCAGGGATTTTGCTGGTTGGGCAATAATAAAGAACAATCTTCACTGCAGAAATTAAATCCTAATGACATCAAGAGTCACACATACTGATTTGCCAGATTGCTGTTTCAAGGCTACCTGGATGTCTTGGGGTGGTCCTGCTGGCTGCAAGAATTGCACTCTGGCGAATCAGTACTTCCAAATAATACTGCCTAAGTCCTCTTAAATGGGAAAACTTTGAAGGCAACTGGGAGGCCTCTGTTTTGTTGAATGGTTAAAGTAGCAGACTTGGATTGCCTCAATGTTTATGACCCTGCATGATGCATTGCATGGGCTGCTAATGCCATGTTTTGACCGAGACCAAACAGAAAGCAAAGGGCAACTTCTAGCAGGAGGTTCTCCTTGGCAAGGCCCATCAAGGTGAGCAGGAGATGTGCAGAAGCTTTTCTTTCTGCTGGATTGTGTACCAGTTCTCTGTGGATCTGTGTAGGACTTTCAGTGAAGACATTCCAGAGGAGATCATAAGCTCACAACTTTTTAAAAGATGCATGTATTTATTAGGGACCAGTCCCTTTTAATACTTTCTGAATGGAGGTCTAATTAGGATTTTACTGCTGGGTTGCATATTTCATCACTTGCCAGATTTTGTACCTTGGTTTCCCTTCTGAAAGTTAAAATCTTCCTTGTGTTCATGTGATGTTACATTATTGGCTTTCGCTAAAGCAACACTGCATAGTGTACTTGCTGTGTATTACAGGGTGTAATACTTCCTGTGGCTGAGGAGCAAAATCTAATAGTTTTAATCTTTAAATCATTAGTTTATCACCATGAAGATCCATTATGACAGACAAAAGAAAATTGCTTGCATGGATACTCCATTTTATCCACATGGTCATGGTTACTTTGTACATGTACAGAAGATAGGCAGTTTGCACCTCTGCATAGCCTAATGCCAGAATTGGACTGGAATTCAGATGCAGATTTAGCATATGAAATCTTAGCAGGCATTGCCCACATTTTTGTCCCAAACATGTTCATGGTCATAAGGACTAGATGTCAAATGTCACACTTGCACAATACTGTCAAAGAAGCAATGATACAGATAAACCTGATATAAGAGCCTTAGCCTACAGGTTCTTATTAAGATATGCAGTGAAGTAAAAAATGGAGGGTGTAGTTTATACTAAGAGGACTTTTTTTTCAAATTGTGCCCATAGTCTGTAATTCACAAAGATATGTATACAAATATATGTATGCATCAATTGATTATGCAGCTTTCAATTGCTGGCAGCTGAACATGTGAACTGGTTCAGGCCTGGTTTGGATGTAATGAGATATCATCGCTTTCTACTACCTGAACAAGCTGCAATGCAACTTAGGTTTGTCCTCTCCCCTTTCCTCTTCTTTTGTGGCTCCAAGGAGATTGGCGCTTCTGCTCTCAGTTTGAAAGAAACCAGTTTCTTGTGACATTCAAACTCTGGAAGCTATAGCCTGTTTAAACTCCAGTTAAGAAACAAATTGGTTTGTTTACACTAACTAGTGTTTTAATAATCCACAGTTCTTTCAGACTGGGCTTGATGGGAACCTGTAGTTTGTTTAACACTGGAAGTGAGGACTTCCTGTTATGCCAGGCTGCATGGGAGGAAAGGAGAAAGTGCAAACCCAAGGCTAATTATGGTTCATTCACACAGTAGGAAACCATGACTTCCTATTACATCTGAACTAGGCCTGTGTACATATTGCACTGAAGATAATGATGTGAAAGTTGGGTCTCCAGTGTTTGGTCTGTGATGGCTGATTCACACATGCAAGACATCCTTTGATACCCTAGTGATTGGCAAGCATGTGTGGAAACAGGCCAGATCAGGTATATCAGGAATACGTGTTTTGCCTTGGAGAACATAAGCATGAAACTCTTACTTTGGGAATGGAGCAATGTAAGCTTGTCTAACCAATAACTGGAATCAATGGAGCTCTTTCCATTAAAACTCACCTGTCAACAGACACTGTACAACTGGCTCCCAATGGTTGGGATGTGGTCCGTTTGTGAATAAAGTCCGTTACTTGCTTTGCTACATGGCATAGCCTTTTTCTGAGATGTGGCCATCACTTTTCTGACAGGCTGGCTGCTCCGGTTGTGGTGAATAAATGCACTTTCTAGTTCAGTGTTAATCAGTGTAATAAAGATGTTTTGTACATTGCAAAGGTTGCTGCCAAACGTTTTTAGGATATATGTTAAACCTTTTTTTAAAATAAAAAAGCTAGCGTTAATGTATAACTTCAATGTTTGGAGCTGATGTTTGTATGAACAGAATTTTTTGCATTACTGATGATTTTTAAAGAAACAAAAAAGTAGAGATAAGGATATATTGGTGTTTTACATTATTAAATGCAATATCCTTTTTTGTGGTAGATAATTATGCCAGGGGATTAGAATATATTTAAATAGTACGATATACAACTCAACATGTTTTTCCTTCCTGTATCTCATGATTTGAGCTGGATAATAAATGCAGACAATTATAATACATTTTTGATAGTAAAATTGCTGTGGTAGGTGAGGGCCTAAATCCACAAATGGTTGTGCAAATATGACCTGTATAGCTGTCTTCCCTTTCTCCTAAGCAGCCTAATATATGTTAACATTACACAATGTATATGCAGCCCTCCCCAGTGGAGAGGCTGAAAATTACACAGACAGCATTTCTATGAGATACCATTTTCCATCCAGGCAGGATTAGTGAGCAAAAGCTCGCTTCAGTGTGAATATGGCCTCTAGCAAGACTGGGGCAGATTCCCTCAAACCTTCCGTTGACAGTGTGTGGGAGATGTAAATATAAGCCTGACTCACTCTTGCCTGGTCCTAAGCACCCCAAGCCCTGACCAAGATCACACAATAACAACCAAGGGTGACTACAAAAGCCTCGTTAGTTTCTTCCAAACTGGCATGACCCCATTTTGCACTTTGTGCAACCTCTCTATTTCCTGTTGTGAAGCAATGTTCTGCTGATTTCCACCACTGGGTTGGACACTGGCACTGTGCACTCGTCCCATACCAAAGAGGAATGTTTAACAATAAGGATCTGTTTCTCAAGGAACCTCAAGTAATGCTTCACACTCCTCTATTATCTATATGTTTACCTGTAACTTCCTCTACATGGTTCCTCAATATCCTTCAAGGGAAACTGTGTGGTGCTTTAGGATTTTGGCAATGCACACTACTCCACCCCTACTGTGATTCAGACGCTCACACCTCACTATTGATCATCTGGTCTGAACTTTCATGCCTGTCTCCTTTGTACTTTGACCAAGAAGAGGTTATACTTTCTCCACCAGTGCCACAGATGTCAAATAAGGTTTCAGAAAACCTGAAGCTGTGGCTTACCTCCACCTTGGATATATATAATGTCCAAGGGTTCATCATGCTTCTATTTTCCTTCACAGCATGTCATTTTGTAAAAAAGCTGTACAAATAAATAAATGAATAAATAAATAGAATTGAGGGCATTCTGATGGAAAAGAAATTGCATGTGTGTACCTTAAGCCAGAGTTGGGGAACACTTGGCCCTCCAGACCCTGAACTCCCATCAAGCCTGGCCATAGGCTGTGTTGTCTGGGGCTGATGGGAGTTGGGAGCTCAAGACATTTGGAGGGCCACCCTGTATACAATAATGTAGGCTTCTAGGAAAGATAATGGAAAGACAGGTTGATTGGGAAAAATGCTGAATCCAAATATTTGAAGATGGGCTATGTGAAGTAAAGGAGGAGTAGAACATGGAAATAGAGGTGGATCGTGTTGCAAAGTTAGAAGAGGCAGCGTGCAGCCTGGGGTTGTCCACTGCCTGGGCAGGGAAGATCTCCACAATGGACAGAGAACATGCCCCTCCATGGAACAGAAAGTGAAGATTCACTTTTGGGCAAAACCCAGCAAAAGAACTTGTATGAGTGGACTGGCAATGACAAATGGACAAACACAGAGTGTACATACTATATTTGCCATGGTAGTCTGTGTAAAATAGAATGGAAGTACAATTAGGATCATGGCAGGATTATATCCCGTATTTCTAAAGCTCCCATAAAGAGCCAAATGTGGTGAGGTGTTGGACTGGGGTCCTGAGATCCAGGTTCAAGTCCCTTCTTGTCCATGAAGCTCACTAGATGATTTTGGGCAAGTCCATCAATTCTCAGCTCAACCTACTGTACAGGGTTTATTTATTTATAATTGAATTTATAAACCAAATTAACCAATAGTCCAGGAGGACTCTTGGGTGGATGTTGTTGTGAAGGTGTCTTGGGTTTATCACAAGAGGAAAAAGGTGGGATATAAATGCAATGTACTAATAAAATCAACATTCTTTTAATTTCATGGAGAGAGGCCAAGATGTGATTTGTCTGAAAGCATCACAGTGTTGGGAAATGAGGGAGACGTGCCAGCTATAGAAATTAACTTCAGTAGGACCCAATAGCCCAACTTCTTACCCAAAAGCAGGAGAATCCAGCCATGCAAGAATCCCTCCTTGCCACAGTGCATCAAAAGCAGTGAAGAGGCACAGAGCAGGAAAAATACCACTATCTATCTATTTAGAGTATTTGTATGCCGTCCCATCGCATAGCCTCGGGACGGCTTACATAAAATAAAACATAATACAAATAAAATCCAGATCCACCCTGGCTGCAGATTAAAACCTATAAGCTGATGTTAAAAGTTATCAAAATATTGTTGAAATAAAAAGAACTTGGCCTGGCACCAAAAAACAAATAACGACGATGCCAGGCAGACCTCTCTGGGGAGCGCATTCCATAGGCGGGGCGCCACCGCAGAGAAAGCCCTCCTCTGGGTACTTTGCCTCCTAATGTCTTTCATGGAGGGTTCCCGGAGGAGGACCTCTGCTGCTGATCTCAGGGGGCGGGAGGGCAAATATGAAAGCAGGCGTTCCTTTAGGTGTTCCTTTAGGTATCCACTAAATGACATCATATTATTCAAGCAGGTAAGAATAGCAGATCTGGGGGAGTTTCCAGCAACAAAAAACCCTTTTACTGGGGGAAGGGATCCTTCCTATCTCCAAAACCACTAATCAATAAAGAAAACTCATCACACAGGAATATTTATGTAGCACACCTATACATACCAGCCATTCTTTTCCCCAAATCTCAGCTGAAAAGAAGTCAGAAAAGACCCCACTATTTCCAAATATGGATTCAAATCCTGTTGCTGGGAACATTTTGCATATTAGACAGATACTGTTGATGCTTGCCCTGCAGAAAGAGAACATGAGGTGTTCGCTAGCCATACCATTTGTGTGAAGATGGTAACAGCCAAGGTGAAATGTTAGCAGGAACTTATTGCCAAGGCTCTAAGCATTTTGCTTTGTAATTCAAACAAAGTTCATTCTATAATTGCATCAGTTACACTAACTCTTAGGTATTTGAGATGTTGTTTTAAGAGGGGTTTTTAAAGACTATTAAAGTTCAATAGCTCAGAAACTTTCAAAATCACTCCTTAACATTTTATATTTGTGTTTGGCTTTATAAGCAAAGACTTTAAAGCACCATAGATTATTCCTGTACATATTGTTACAGGAATTGTTAAGTGTCTGAATGGGAACTGAGTTTGATCTTTCTGGGTTTTGGACTTTTATCCAGTATTCTGGATATTATGTTCTATCCAGAACTTTAATCCAAAAAAAAAAAAAGACCTTGGATTAATTGTGGACAAGAAGCCAAATATGAGTCAACACTGTGATGCAGCAAAAAAGGGCAAATGCTCTTTTGGGATGCATTAATAGAAGGAATACTGTGTCCAGTTCAGGGCATCAAGATCTAAGAAAAATGCAGAAAAATTAGAAAGGGTCAAGAGGAGAGCAATAAACATTATCCAGGATTTGGAAACACTGCCCTATGAGGAGAGACTGAGAGAACTGGACATGTTCAGCCTTGAGAAGAGAAGACTGAGCAGGGACATGGTATCACTCTGTAAGTACCTCAAAGGCTGTCACAAAGATCTCTTCTTGCTGATACCAGTGTAGGACACAGAAAAATCAACTCCAGTTGTGACAACTCAGATTCAGGCTAGATAGCAGGAAATTTCCGCTCTGTCAGAGTAATACGACATTGGAACCAGTTGCCTAGAGAGGTCGTGGGCTCTCCCACACTAGAAATATTCAAGTGAAATTGAACAGTCATCTGAGTGGGAGGGTATAAATTGGTGACCTGCAACAGCAGGGGGGTGGACTCAATAGCCTTCATGGCCCCTTCCAACTCTACTATACCATGATTCTATGATTATGTTTTAGTACATTGGCTAGATTTCCATTCATTGCTGGACATCCTATATTATATCTGCATAACTGTTTTTTTACCTGCATTTTAGCCAACTTTATCTATTTTAAATTATTTTTCTTTTTGTTAATGTATTTAATCAAACACTTTAAGCAATGACATCCATCCTTTGAAATTTGGGTCAACTTAACAACTGGTCTGCAAAATAAAGTGAAAATAATTCACAACTGGAGTTCTGGATAAAATAATATGCAGCATTTCCATCCACAAAAGCCTTTTAATTGAAATCTAATGTCAACTTACAGATCAAAATGTAAGCAGTTTATGCTACATACTTAGAGTGACTCACAGGGGCTTGAATGCACTTCACCATGTAACTACTTCCATAAGTCCATAAGACATTGAACATTCATCAAACAATAGCACACCACGCAACATAACAAGGTGCTTTTAGGTTCAAGAGTAGTTTAGGTTCAAGAGCAGTTTACCAGACATGCTGCTCTGCTGTGAACCTAAGATCACAAAAAGAACCATGGTGGATCAAGAAAGGTCCAACTAGTCCAGCATCCTGTTCACACAGCGGCTAGCCAGCTGCCTGTCACAAGTAGGACATGTCTTCAGCAGCTCCCCCAACACTCATGTTCCTCAGGAACTGCTAGTGAAATGCATGCTTCCTTCAGTACTGGAGGTAATATAATCAGGATGAGGAGCCACAGAGCCTTCTCCTCCATGAATTGCTCCAATCCTGTTTAAAGCTGTCCAAATGTGTGGCCATCGCCACATCTTGTGGAAGTAACTTCCATAATTTAATCTGTAATTTAACCAGGTCCTAATATTACGGGGGATGGAGAAAAATGTCTCCCTAGCTACTTCCTCCTTACAATGCATAATTTTGATCTATCCCCCTGTGCAGGGATGCACTCTGGCCATGTAAAGAGGACTCCGTGTTGGCACTAGTTAGGTATAAGGTTCTCCTAGGCAGGATGAGGCTTCAGGGAC